TAGGATGTGGGAGACACCTCATTCAGGAAACCAGATGACTCCAGACCCTGGGGACTCCACCAGGCTGGTTCTACCCAAGGAGAAGCTGAATTCCTGAGGGAGTGCACCATCTCACACACTGTATCTTCTCCTGAGAGACACATGATAATATCTGGGACCACTGTGCTATATCATGACTTTCTAACTATTTTCTTTCTATTCCAAGACTGACAACAAACTTTATCGCGCAGAACAGTACCTTTCTTAATTTTTCATCAGCATAAATGAAGGCTCTGGGAGGACAGAGAACCTCCTCAGGGTCTCCCAGCACTGGAGTGGGGCGTGGCCAATATCAGGAAGCACATCTGACCCTAAAACCTGACCTACAGCTGCTCGAATGAGAGGGAAGAGTGAGCACCAAGTCAGAGCAAAAAGGTTTGTGTCCCACTTCCTCATCTGTCTGTGTCACCGTGATCACTGCCAGCTGCTCCCACTGCCATCAGCTACTGCACAGTAATAGTCAGCCTCGTCCTCAGCCCGGGCACCACTGATGGTCAGGGTGGCCGTGTTCCCCGAGTTGGAGCCAGAGAATCGGTCAGGGATCCCTGAGGGCCGGCTGCTGCTATAATAGATGACCAGCACAGGGGCCCGGCCTGGCTTCTGCTGGTACCAGTAAGCATTTTTACTTCCAATGTTGTTTCCTCCACAGGTGATCCTGGCCGTCTGTCCTGGGGTCACCGACACGGAGGAGGGCTGAGTCAGCTCATAGGAGGCCACAGACCCTGCAAGAGAGAAGCGGGGAGGAGGGCTTGAGGATGAAGGTTTTGTCCAGGAGACCCCTGTCTGCCTGCCTCACTGAGCTGCAGAGTGGAGGCCCCAGGGCACCAACTCCCCTTATTTGAGCCTCAGTGGCACATTGGACTGGGCTAGAGGATGGAGCCTTTGAACGAATGAGAGCCCCCCTCCTTCTCTGGCAGGCGCAGCCCCTCAGGGGTCACACAGAGCCAGTGAGCACAGAAGTAGGGGTGAGCCCCACCAGCCCCTCATCCTGCAGCAGGGTCCCGAGCATCCTGCCCCCACTGGCAGTGCCCTGCTGAGTCAGAGTCAGGTCAGGTTGTCCAGAGGCCTGGACATTAGGTGGCTGTGAGCCTGGGTGCAGCACCTGTGCAGTGAGCGAGGAGGCCGAGGAGGAGAGGGGTCCAGGCCATGGTGGAGGCACCCCAATTATGCTCCCTGTGGCCTGAGGCTGAGCAGGTTTCCTCCCAGGCCTCTCTTATCCCCTTGCTGGAGAGAGCAGCTGGGTATGCAAATCAGCCTGGGTAGTGGTGGCGCTGAGGAATTGCATGGTTTCAGAGTAGGGCTCAGTCTCAAAAGGCAGAGGGAGTGGAGGGGTGGTTCCTGCAGACCCCACCTTCAGCCCTGGGAATTCTGGTTCATTCTCTGGTTCCATACTCCGGGGCTCACATCTCCATCACCATCACTGTCTTCACCTGGATCCTGGACTGGCCTGGTAACAGTACTGCTCAGAGTTCAAGTCTGTTTGCAATTTCTGAACCCATTATAGATTGTTAACACTAGCGGTGACCATCTGAGCCTTAGGTTCATGCAGTATTCTACACAGATCACAGTTTGTGAGCATCAGAGACTGAAATAATTCCTATATTGTTAATAGCACATTGAAATTTTTTTTAAAGATTTTTTTATTGGGGAATTGGGGGATGGGAACAGCGCTGGGGAATTGGGGGAAGGGGAACAGACAAGTTGCTGTCCTTTT